AGTTCTGCTTTGAGTACTGAATCTAAGCGTAGCTCCTCTAAATGGTGAGAAGTTGCTCCTAGTGCGTATTTCTGGCGAGAAGTTTGCCTGCCGTTTATTTGGTGGGAGGATTGGTATTTCAACTACGCTAGGTATAGTAGTCTGCGTAGGCGTCGCTGGTTCCGTGGTTTCCATATCTATCTCATTCTGGATCTGAGCTTCGATTTCTGCTCTCGCCTGGGTGCCTGGCACGTGTACGTCGATAGTATCACTATCGGGTGGCATTTTGATTACTAATCCACCTGGTCTGTGTGTTTTTCGGTGAAAAATAAGACGTGTCTAAAGTGATCACTTTAACAGCCTATAGCTCCACAGCGCGTGGCGTGCACGCTTTAAAGGTGATTGTAATCGATTTCTCGCGAGGGGTTTATATATATTTGACTAAAATTACACCTATTCTAGAAAACTCGAAGTTGTCTGCGGGTACTTGGTATTATTTACCCCCTTTTCATTCAAATTGAGACAGCAGCCAACCAGCGCAATAGGTACTGGAATCGATATCCTGGGCTCATGTGTGATGTCGAAAGTTACATCTATCTTCCGCTTCTAGAGGAGACTGGATATATGCCCAAACACAAATACTCATTTGGCGCCGAGATTCGCGGTCAGAATGAGCGAGCTGCTAAGCACTTTGGCATCCAGGGCCAGTTTTGCACCAGGATCGAGTCGCAGATTTGGGAAGACGACAAAAAGGTTTGGGTCGTACAGTTGACCCGTACCGTGGATGCAAATGCGAAGACTGAATCATTGACTGTTTTTGCGGATTTTGTCATTGTGGGCGGTGGCGTCCTGAACATTCCGAAAATCCCAAAGCTCCCAGGCTGGGAAGAATTCAGAAACAAGAAACGTGTATTTCACTCAGCTCGCTGGGACTATGCTTATACGGGTGGTCACCAGGCGAAGCCAGACTTGGTAAACCTTAAAGACAAGACAGTTGCAATAGTTGGTACAGGGGCAACTTCGGTTCAGATTATACCTGAATTGGCCAAGTGGGCCAAACACTTATACGTTGTACAGAGAACGCCGTCATACTGCGGGTATCGCGGTAACCACTTGACTGATGAAAAGCATTTCAAAGACTTGTCGAAGGAGAAAGGATGGCAGAGAGCCCGGCAACTCAATTACAATGCATGGGTCACTAACAACCCTGGAGGTTATGGACCTAATCTTGTGAACGATGGATGGACCCATACTCCAGCTGGAGAAGGCATCTTGGGCTCAAACAGAAGAACAGTTGGGCCATACGAGACGGAAGAATATATACGAGAACTTCATCGGATTGACCGGCCACGTACTGAAGCCTTGCGCAAGCGTATCGACGACGTGGTCAAGGATAAAGATACTGCCGAGAAGCTGAAGCCATGGTACGGCAGCTGGTGCAAGCGCCCTACCTTTCATGACGATTACCTGGAAGCATTCAACCAACCCAATGTCACCTTGATCGACACTGACGGGAAGGGTTTGCAGGGATTCTCCGAGAATGGCATATTGTTCGACGGCCAGGAGTACGAAATTGACGCTCTAATACTCGCAACGGGATTTACTCAAGTTACGAATGGAGATGTTTCTCAGAAGATCGATGCAGTTATTCAAGGATGCAATGGGCAAACCATGTCCTGTAAAGTTGAGACTGTGGGTAACCCGCCACTGTTTGGCATTGCTCTTTCAGGCTTTCCAAATCTTTTCTCCTATTTTTCCCTCGGGGGCGGGGCTTCGTGGAACATGACATCTGTGTACGATATGATGGCGAGATATCTAGCGTCTACACTCAAAAAGGCGCACATGCAGGTGGAAGACGGGAAAAGGGTAATCGTTGAGGCCACTCCAGAGGCTGAAGACAAATGGGGTGACGAGGTCGCAAAGAGGGCTGCTTTGTACAGTGCATTGGGTGCTTGCACGCCCACCTACTTTACTGGGGGCTTTGAAGCTCTCAAAGCTCAGAAAACACAGAGCAAGGAGGACTTGGTGAGAAAGGCGAGGACGGCGGGCTGGGGCGCGGGCCCAGTTGCTTACCAGGAGAAATTAGAAAGTCTTGCAGCTAAGTCAGAGATTGAAGGCTTTAAGGTTAGTGTTACTGCTTAGATTAATACTTGAAGATATATACATACCTGTATAGGCGTAATATTCAACATTAGGTCATTTCGGTTGAGTGCCGCCGATAAGGTAGAGGAGATTGCTGATAAGTGACTATTACTATACGACTTGTATCCCATTTCAACTTTTCCTGATTGTCCAACACATCCCGTAAAGACAAACATAGGATGCTTTAGGGATAGTTTGCTGCCTTAATCAAGCTTCACTTCTTGCAGTTGTTAATATACTCCCAATAGGTACCAGTCGCAAATTTAAGGCATCCAGCCATCACCTCTCTAGCTGCTACGGTAATCCCAACGCTGTCCCTTCACATATCAAAGAAGCTCCTGTCCATCTTGCCGAGCAGATCTGAGAGTAGATAGTGCATTTATTTTGAAGCTGGTTCTTGCATTAGAGTAGTTGGTGACGATTAGTAGCATCGCGGTTCGCCAGGGCGTTTGCAACAATCGCACGGGCTTGAGCCCTTGCTACAGGGCTGTCACTCCCAAGCTCCCGCATGCAAAGCCTCCCCTGGAGTTCCCCCAAAAAGCATCCTGTAGCCCACTTTAAATATTTTGAAGGAACTCCTTCTTGATATCCTCTGGTCAGTTGGCATAGTCCCCAACCGTAGATGCCTCCGGATGCGTCTAAGGCTTCACATCAAGCCCGCCAAAGTCGGTAGCGTTATAGCTATTGTTGATGTCGGGTTTGGACACTTCAAGAACTGCTGCCACAGACGTAATATTAGTGTCTGATGGCGCAGGTGGTGCACCCAATGACGTGCTAACAATGGAAGCCAGGTCGATAGTCGGAACAGTCATCTTAACCTGCAACATCGGTATCAAGGACAACAATGTCGCTTCTGATAGTGTGGCAGCTTTGTAATCGTTTCTGTGGGTCAATTCCCATGAATGCGCACACTCGATTGTTCCGATTGTTCCGGATACAAAGTTTATCGGAGGATACACTGGTTGTCCTTTCCTGTTCCGCGAAGGTGGCAGCTCGATTGCTGGCTGCCTTCTTTCTCCTTCCCAGAGTCCAAGGGGGATGGAGATGTAGCAGCAGAGGCGACTATGGAGATTGGTGATGGAGGAATGGATAGTTGAGAAAACTGGGCCAAATTCAACATGACTTGTTCATGCAAGTTAGTTGTAATACATTTTTGCCCTAATTTTTGCTTGATTGAATAGACCTCTGTAGACTCAAGTGTTTAGGTCAGCTTTTCTTACTTTCGTATCTAGCACATCAATACAACTTGCATTCTATCACTTATGATAATATAGAGACAGATTGCGTTATTTAATAATTAAAATTAGTTGGTGAAGTTATTCTATAGTCATACGAGAGACAAACGCTTGAATAGATTCGTACGGGATAGCTAGGTAAGGTAGCACGTTCTAATAAAAGCCATAAAAGTAGAACGAAAAGTGTTCATGAGATGGGTATCGTGATGGGAAAGCGAATGACCTCTTTGTAGCCATTGTACATGAAAGTAGATAGAGTGAACAAGCATGGCTCGTGGTGCAAAATGCAGAAAAAACGTGCGGGAAAGAGAAGTACTAAGAAACAAGTGGCTGAGCTACACCATTGGGCGAGGGCCGGATACAGCGGGATGTTTCCCGTAGGCCATCCGTTAGAGCGCGTGCTTTGCCTGCAAAGCTTATCATTTGGAGGAGCTTCTTCCAAACACCAACAGCCGACTTTTCTTAGGCTTACCTTTTCCACCTCTCTGCTCGTCCCAGGGTAAGACATCGTTGATTTGAAGACGTCTACCTAGTCCGAGACGCTCACGAGGAGACTCGTACCAGTGGAGAGAGAGTTCGGAAGGGGCAATGGTAGACGGCGCAATCGAACGAGCATCGCCATTGTCATCGTCATCTTCAGATTCATTGGTGCTGGCTAATGAAGATTCGTACAAGGTGGGTAGTGCAGGCGCCTGGGGTGTTCTCCTGTAAGGTGTCATGAAGGTATTGCGCTGAACTGGTGGCGGACCTGTAGGGGCAGTGGGCCGACTGAAGTTCTGCACAGGCCGCACAGGGGAATACGGAGGGATGAATTCGTCTGAGGGACGACTGTATGCCACGGAAAGATCGATGTTTCGCGTGTTGATGGCGGGCGGTGGCTGTGGCTGTGGCTGGAAGAGAAAATCGTGAGATTCTGGCACGATGTCTGGTTTGGATCGATCCTGTAGTTCGGCGACAGGCGCTTCTCTACCCAGGCCCCCTTGACTTGGACGATCATTCATTTTTCTGAAGATGGTATCTGCCGTATCCATTGTGATGGTATCTGCTGATGTGGTGGAAGAGGCAGGAGAATGTGGTCGCGAGTGAATGGATTCATCCATGCTCGGACGGCCATCTGAAAGCGAATCCAAAGCCCTGTTTCTCGTTGACTGAAGATTGGATCGATCGGCCATTTGCGTGCTGAAAGACGGCGAGTGTAACGAAGTTGGCGTGAGTGGACCATCTGCCAGGTAGGGACCGACGTTGGGAAATGTAGCAGTGGAAGGCGAAGAGCCAAGACCCATGGCTGTCTCGTGACGAGGCAGATTGGAGACGGAGACCGAGGCAATGGAGTTTGGCGGGTTACGTGTACCATCGGTCATGACAGAGAGGTTTGAGTGATTCCATTGAGTGGTTTTGAGATGGGAGCCAAAAGAGCTCTTGGATGAGACGCTGCTTCTGTTGTCCTTTATTGACGGGCTAGATGTTGGCGAATCTCTCTGCTTGACTGACTCGGGGACGCCGTCCCATTTGGAGTTGACCTTGGGCACATAAGGAGGAAGCTTCTGGCCGGTGTGATAGGCGGCAGACGGCGGAGTCGATGAACCACTGTTCTGCTTGCGCTGCTGTTGGACGATGTGGTCCAAGGCAGCCTGGGAGGGCTCTTTTAACGAAAGGAAGCCGAGCACGGAGCTGGTCTTCTTCTTCTTTTTGGATGACTTGGAGTCATTTCCAGAAGAGGTGCTCGAGTGTAGGGAAGCCAGACTGGATGACGTCAGGGGGGCGGGCTGGGAGGGAGAGTGAGCGAGGGTGGATGGGAGGTTGGAGGTTGGATCCGGGGCGACGGGCGGCTCTTGAGTAGAATAGGCAGGGTGGGGCCCAGAGCCGTGGAAAGACTTTGGAAGGCTGGCGGACGGCAACGGGTTTCTGTACCTCAGCCTGGGTATGCGCGCCGGGGGCATGGCTAACGACTGTGATTTCGGTACAGCGTCCATGCAGGGCTTAGCGGCGAGTGGAGCGAAAGCGGGCGGCGTTTAATTGGCAAGTTGTTTCATGGGCGGGGCGCACGTCACGCAAGCGCCGGTAGTCGAGTGTGTAGACAGCAGAGCAGATAGTCGCGAGTCGGGGGTTGAGGATAGGAGAAGGTGGGTAGTGGCATTGTGCAAGTTATGAAGCCGTGTGGAGACATTGAGGCAGTCGTGGAACCTTCGCTGGGGAAAGGCAGGCGCTCATGGAGAGCAGGCAAGTACGGCTGGCTGGCTGGCTGGCTGGCTGGCTGGCTGGCTGGCTGGCTGGCTATAGGGGCCAGGGGCAACAACGGCCTGTTTTCCTTCAGCCATGTATTGTGTACATACTGCATGCTATTTGCGTGTGAAAGGATGTGAGTAATGTACATACACGCATACATACTTACTATACTTAGTAAAAGTATACATAGCACTTACTCTCCATCTCCTTACTAGTCTTGCCCAAGCTCCAGGCCCGGCCATTGGTCGGCCTGACAGGTAATTTTTCTTGTGGCTGTTCCCTCGTCAATCGGCAAACCTTGACACGGTGGCTCTTAATGGGCGCCAGCTGCAAAAGCTTCTCTCGGTTAGATCTAGCCCCGGACGCCTTCTCTTGCTAGCCTTCTTCTGTCTCTCGTTAGGCCCTGGCAACACGCCGGGCCGTGAATGTCGGCTTAGCGACAGGTAACCCGCAATTCATTCGGCCTGGAGTTAGACGACACGGTGAAGGCCATGGACATGACAGAGGCGTCTGCAGATGCTGGGAACACGCGAAGCAACCTGCGTTGGAGGCTTGCAACGGTGCATGCACGGCCCAGGCGTCCTGATGTAAGTGCTTATTTCATCTCGTCTCATATAACGTCAAGGATCAGTCATCCGGCCAGATCAGTCATCCGGCCACCCCACCAAACCTGACCCGACGCGACACACGATAAATCCACAACAACAAGGTAAGATTAGATAGAATATCAAAATATAGTTAGCTATCAAGTTCTACATGAAGTCCGAGTGTGTCCTTGAATATGGCACTTTGTACACGTCGGCGGCGCGCGCTGACGTCGCTGACTGCCCTCACCCTGCTCAACCTCTGCGACTACCCTTTCTACCTCTATAGTAAGCTGCTGAGCCTGCTGCACCTGAAGTACTCCACCAGAAGCGATATATTGACGCTGCCGATCTTTCTTCTGTCGCCGGAGCTTACTGCCTTGACGTAGCTTCTTATTTTCTTTAGTAAGTATTGTCGCTGATTGCATTGCAATCTGACAGCCTTTAATAACTTGGCGAAGAAGCTGGCTTGTTGGGCTCTGAGATTCCCGGTGGAGCTGGTCTTCAAGATATTTTGCCTGCTGCTGGAGCTGAGCTACCGTATGGGGTGTCCCTGCCTGCTAGGCGATATCGGCGACGTTATTTTCTGTAGCTGTCTGTGGTGGAGATGGTGTACGGACGACAGTCAGTGACGATAGAACGCGATCTAAGCAAGGAGGGATAAGACCTGTCGCCCGAAAGCCT